CATGATTGATTTGTGAATCGGTTCATGGAATCAGTCATGGAAAAGATTCGACTCACCCAAAATAACTATTTGTTGAATCATCAATGAGAGACAACGCTGGGTTACTGTAGAAAGGGTGTGTTTTATTGCATTTTATTCGCTTTTTTTCGTTTACTTTAAGCTAAAATGCGGTGTGATATTTCCTCTGCCGTAAGTATAGAGACTTTTTAAATCTGCATTTATTTAAATAAAAAGATAGACCTGATCAGTGACAGCTTGCCATAATGTTTTACCAGTCTCAAGGCTCTCATCAAAATTAAAATGAAAATGGTTTCACCTCCTCTGCTGTGAATGTAGGCTGCATATTGCAATGAAGGGACAAAAAAGCTTTTCCTGACTGAATAAGAGATCCTGAAGACACCTTCATCATGACCCTGTCAGATTTTATTGGAGCCCTTAAGGACAACCCTTACTTTGGGGCAGGATTTGGACTAGTTGGTATTGGCACAGCACTTGCGGTTGCCAGAAAAGGGGCACAGGTCGGCATGATCTTCTTCAGAAGACATTACATGATCACGCTGGAGGTCCCAAGCAGAGATAAAAGTTATCACTGGCTCTTAAGCTGGATCACTAAACATGCCAAACACACCCAGCATCTGAGTGTAGAGACCTCATACATGCAGCATGAGAGTGGACGAGTCCATACACAGTTTGACTTCCATCCGAGTCCAGGCAACCACATCATTTGGTACGATCAGAATATATTGTGATGTTACTTTGGACATTTTAAATTCAATGTGCTGCTTATTTGATTTTCTCTCAGAGATCAATCCAGCACATAGTTATCCATGTCTCTGACTGAGGCTTTGTGTTTTCAGGTATGGCAGGAAGTGGATCAGAGTGGAGAGGACCAGAGAAAAGCAGATGGTGGACTTGGCACACTGGAACACCCTGGGAGTCCGTCACCTTCACTGCTCTGGGCAGAGACCGCCAAATATTCTTCAACATACTTCAAGAAGGTATGAGCAGCTAGATTTTGTTTTATTAATTTTTCCTTCATTCGGCAGTGTTGTGTCAGCACCTGCTGTGAATTTCACACGTATAGTAGACCATCAGCTGAATTTTTCAAAAATATGTTGCAGTCTTAATGATTGATTCTGTGTCCGTGCAGCACGTGAACTTGCTTTAAAGCAAGAAGAGGGCCGAACTGTGATGTACACTGCACTTGGAGCAGAGTGGAGGCCGTTCGGGTTTCCAAGGCGAAGACGACCTCTGTCTTCAGTAGTGCTGGAGAATGGTTTGGCGGAGAGGATCGTGGATGATGTAAAGGAGTTCATTGGCAATCCTAAGTGGTACACTGACAGAGGTGAAAAAAGCATTTTTCATACTTAAAAATATAAGGAAAAAAATGCATGCGCACCTCTAATGTAATGTGAAATCTTTATAATAATAAATAAAAGGGTTGCTTTTTTGATTGTTTTATGTTTTAATTAATTTTTTTGTTGATGAATATGTTTCAATCAGGCATTCCATATAGGAGGGGATATCTGCTGTATGGACCCCCAGGCTGTGGAAAGAGCAGCTTCATGTAAGCACAGTCTCTTTGTTTATAGTAGATGTTACTATGAATAATAGTGTCTGATAAAGTATACAGAGTGTAGATTGGTGCAGAGTAGACAGACAAAGTTACAACAATATGAATATAAATATCTGAGAGGACCAAGTGTTATTCTTATATTCTGTATCAAATAAATGCTATTCTTTTGAACTTTCTATTCATCAGAGGATCCTGGAAAAAAATGTATCATGGTTTCCACAAAAAAATTAAGCAGCACAACTGTTTTGAACATAGATGATTGTAATAATAAACTTGAACACCAAATCATCATATTAGAATGATTTCTAAAGGGTCATGTGACACTGAAGGCTGGAGTAATGGCTGCTGAAAATCACCTTTGCCATCACAGAAATAAATAACATTTTAAAGCATATTACAATTGGAAACAGTTGTTTTAAATAGTATTAATATTTCACAGCATTACTATTATTACTGTTTTTGTTTTGGATCAAATAAATGCAGCCTTGGTGAGCATAAGAGACCTATTTAAAAATAGTACAAATCTTAGAGACCCCAAAGTTATGAACAGTGCTACATATACTTATAATATTATGTATATATGTATTTATTGACTCTAATAATCTGTTACTAGGCAAAATGCAGACTTGTGTATTAACTGGTTCTTGCCATGAATATAGCCATAGATGTTGGAATGGCGTTAAGAAGAAAATAAATAAACAAACAAACAAACTAGACAAAATGCAATAGTATATGTTGCTAATTTTATACTGCCGTGCAAGAACCATTTTTTAAAAATAATAAGTATAAGTATAATATGACTTCAAGAAAGCAATCAGTTAAATGTACAATTTGGAGTCCCAAGTACCATTACCATTCTTGTGGTATTTCAGAACTGCATTAGCAGGCGAGCTGGGTTACAGCATCTGTCTGATGAGTCTCAGTGACCGCAGCCTGTCTGACGATCGCCTCAACCACCTGCTGAGTGTCGCTCCACAGCAAAGCATCATCCTGCTAGAGGACGTGGATGCAGCCTTCGTCAGCCGGGAGCTGCTGCCCACTGAGAGTATGTCTTACAGACTGCAGTGCTTCTGAACTCTCACTGTCTGTTTGGAGTATAATGTAATTACAATCACATGTGATTAATTATGATAATAGTTTGGTCTCTAGCCATGGCATTAACAGCACCATGAAATATTTCTGCTCTTGTTGATCTCATTTATTCTTCCTTGTCTTGTTCTCACAGCTCCACTGGCCTATCAGGGCATGGGAAGACTCACTTTCAGTGGACTTCTCAATGCTCTGGGTGGAGTGGCATCTTCAGAGGCCCGAAATGTGTTCATGACAACTAATTTCATTGAGAGGTAAAGCTCAATACTGCAGCTTGTTCATTGTGCATTACTTTTTTGTTTTGATGTAAGTTGGAATGTAAAATCCTTGTCATCTTGCCCTTTTGCCTCTATAAACATAACGAAGATTAGTGGTAATAAACTTTTGTTTTACAGTTCAAGATAGTGATAAGCAGATTTTAGCAGATAATTGAATATTTATCGAAATGTGTATTATATTTTATATTTAATATATAAATTCAATATAATATATGTGACCCTGGACCACAAAACCAGTCATAATTGTCAATTTTTCGAAATTGAGATTTATACATCATCTGAAAGCTGAAAGCTTTCCATTGATGTATGGTTTGTTAGGATAGGACAATATTTGGCCGAGATACAACTATTTGAATATCTGGAATCTGAGGGTGCAAAAAAATCAAAATATTGAGAAAATCACCTTTGAATCAAGTTGTCCAAATTAAGTTCTTAGCAATGCATATTACTAATCATAAATTAAGTTTTAATATATTTACAGTAGGAAATTTACAAAATATCTTCATGGAACGTGATCTTTTCCTAATGATTTTTGGCATAAAAGAAAAATCTATAATTTTGACCCATACAATGTTTTTTTGGCTATTGCTACAAATATACCCCAGCGACTTAAAAGACACAGTTTTGTGGTCCAGGGTCACATATATTTAATACGTAAAATATATTTTATATGTTTAAGTAAGTACCCAATAGTCATGATCACCTGTGTTTATTGTTGTTATACATGGTATTGTTTTATTTTCTCCCCTTTCTCTTTTTTTCTCCTCTGTGTGCTGAAGACTTGATCCGGCTCTTGTCCGACCTGGCCGTGTTGATCTGAAGCAGTATGTGGGCCACTGCTCTCACTGGCAGCTGACTCAGATGTTCCGGAGGTTTTACCCTCAGGAGTCTGCAGCTGGGGCTGAGCGGTTCGCCGAGCAAGCACTGACAGCACACACAGAGCTCAGTGCTGCTCAGGTGCAAGGACACTTCATGCTCTACAAGACAGACCTGGCTGGCTCCATCAAAAACATTGCAGAGATGAAGGAGTGAAGACTACACAGACAGTACAGACTTTTGTATGATGCAGACTGAGCAAACAGGCGAGTGATAAACAGAATGAATGAATCATTCTTTGAAATTTACCCCTGGATGAAGGCTTTTCACACACGGGAGTAATAAAATCCAAAAGAATTGTGAAAAATGTGTGTATTTCTTCTGTTGTTACTGTTATTGGTTAAGCAACAACAGATGCACCATTTATTATGCACTAATTGTCTGTCTCATTGTTTACAGTCATGAGTTTCATTTGCAGGAATGATCAGTATATTACGGTTCTCCTGAGATTTGCTTTGTGTATACTGAATCATGTCTGTGAAAGTGGAATATAATATTTACTTGTTGTTGTTGTTCATAACATCAATATTATATACATTATCTAAACTTTTTAGGTGATTGAAAGACATTTTTTTACTAAACAGCTAATTTCTTTTAAGGAAAACAGCCATTGTAAATACAGGTATGTGATTCTGAAAAGGTTCAAAACCTTTTGTTTGCATTTGTTCACTATGCCCTGTAGGAATTGGAAGAAAGGTGAATGTTAAAGGGATAGTTCACCCAAAATGTCATTGTTTCCTCAGCCTTAATGTAATTCCAAACCTGCCTGACCTTATTGCTTTGGTTGTAACACATAAGGAGAAATTTAGTAGAATGTTCACACTATTGTTTTCCAAAACAGTATGAGGACAGGGATAGCCGTGGTCAACATTCACTTTCATTGTATGAAAAAGAGCAGCTTTTGTGTTCCACAGAGGAAAGACAAAGGTTTGGAAACAACATGTGGCTGAGTAAATGATGACATTTTTAAAGAGCAGAAAATGTTCCAGTTGATGGCAGTATTCTTACAGTATCATTATGTGCATGATAATGGTGTTTCACCTTTTAAAACAAAAATCCACACACAGTATTAAATTACAGCAGATAGTGAAGGGTTAACTAGAGAGGCTTTGCCCCACCTCCCTCTCCCTCCCATGTGAAACAGTATCATGTTTTGCCTCACTCTTCTCTCCACTTCCATAATGGCTGGTCGTCTTTTAGTGAGCTCTGCAGAAAGAAGGATCAGATTCGGTTTTCTGAGGCCCATGACAGTGGCCACAGACGTCAGGAGAGGGACAGTGGGTAATGCTGCTGCTTCTGTCACTGTCCAGGACAGCCACGGGAAGCTCAAGACTGTGGCTGACCTCCCAGAGATCAGAACCTTTGAGATGATGCACAGACTGATCTTTAAACGGTACCTGAATCGCATGCATGAGCTGCAGGTACAGAGAGAGATACCACAGCCATAGTTTGTTTATCGTGTGACTGTAAATGATTAATGCCTCCCTTTATGTATTCAGACTGTCTATGTTTTTACTTTTAAGGACATTGAATAGCAAGGAAACAACTGTCTTGTATAATTGAACACTTTTAAATAATTCAGTGTATTAGTTGTGATCTCAGTCTGATGTTTGTTGCTCTGAAACAATTTAGAGATAAAATGCAATTTATCTCAAAATCAACCAGATGTTTCTTCACTAGCACATCTAATTTGTTCTTCACCACTTGTTTTTTCATCTCTCCAGTTATATGAAAAACAGCTTTATGGCCCTTTGTACAAAGTGAATGCTGGAAACTTCCAAGCCATTTCAGTAAACAGTGTGGACTTACTGGAGGAACTCCTTAGAAAAGATGAGAAGTTTCCTTCCAGAGGAGACATGACTTTGTGGACAGAGTACCGTGACATGAAAGGCATCGGCTACGGCCCTTTCACAGAGTAAAAATGTTTTATACAGTTGTTTGGTATCTCTAACAGGTTTGTTTTGTAACATACATTACGTAAGACTAGTCATGTCTGGAGATTTTATACAGCCAAAGTGCATTTGGCTTATGTAGTCCTGTGATGTTATGTAAGCTTATGAACTCTTATTGTTGCCCTTCTGAAAAGACAATATGTTCTTTAACAGAGAAGGAGAGAAATGGTACAAACTGCGGACAGTGCTGAACAAACGCATGCTGCATCCAAAGGACTCAGTTCAGTATGGAGATGTGGTCAATGCGGTGGTCACAGACTTCATCAAACGGATTTACTATCTGCGGGAGATGAGCCCCACCGGTGATCTGGTTTCTAACTTGACCAATGAGCTTTATCGCTTCTCCCTTGAAGGTATTTCCTTTCCATAAGCACTTGAAATTAGATCAAATCAGACAACAGAAGATACAACTTTCTTACAGATTCCCAAGGGAGTAACTGACTTGTCACAATGCCCTTAAAGGGATAGTTCACCCAAAAATGAAAATTACCCCATGATTTACCCTCAAGCCATCCTAGGTGTATATGACATTCTTCTTTCAGACGAATACAATCGGAGTTATATTAAATAATGTCCA